CACCCTGCAGGTTCAGCAGGCCCCTGAGTGCCCCAGGACTAGTATAGAGTCACCCTGCAGGTTCAGCACAGCCAATGTCTGGTTTTAACTGTGGGAGTGATACCATTAGGATTGCCTTTAAAGACTCCTTTGTCACAGGGTGGAGAAAGGAGTGGAGGAGGTCAAATTGGGGACAGGGAGGAGTCAGAGAACTGATTGCAGAATGGTAGAGGCTGTCTTTTCTGAAGTGTAGGGTATGATAGTTGGCTGGTTAGAAGAAAAAAATCCATTGATATGGGTATTCATAAAAATGATAATATTTAAAATATTTACTTTAACTTAAAACATGTACATTTACCAATATTACTAACTTTCTTGACTAAATCACATTCATAAAGACTTTAATTATTTTTTTAAATTGGAGAATTTAAAGGTACTTGTGAGGCAATCTGAGTGAAAGATACTTCTAGATATTTATAAGTCTTCCTCCATTTGTTTACATTTATCTGAGCTACACCTATGGTAGTCTTCAGTGAATTTCTCTAATCTAGTCTTTAAAAAATTAAATTTGGCTTTCATCAAGACAAGAGCTGTCTCTCTGTACCCATGTTTTATTGGTATATAGACTACTTAATTAAATTGCAGCTTACAAGAACAAGTGCAGCTAACGCAAACAGGTTTGGGAGCAAACATAAATACATGCTTAGTGAACATGTGCTTCTGTTACAGAACAACAGGGGCTCACCCACAAGGACTACTGGTATACTAATACCGTCTGGACCACCTACTGGGCTTGCCAGAGCTGCAGAGAGGAAAGGGTTGCCACTCTGGCAAAGCTGAGTGGTGATTCTCTGCTAAAGCTGCACGGTGGTTGTCCCTTCTAAAGCTGTGGGGGTCCCCACTCTGCCCAAAAGTGCGTGGTTTTCTGTCTCCACTGCCACAGCCACGTGGTTCCCTCTCCTCTTTCTTCTTACGTGGCTGCCCTGTCTGGGTTTTCAATCTTTGTGGCCCCATTTCCAACTCCTCCTACAATTGGCTACATTTGCCCATTCCTGTATTCCAAGTTTACTGGGCTGCCATCATGAGTCCGGGCAGGTGTGGCCCCGTGTCATGGAGTCGGTCATCTCCAAGCACTCACGCAGGTGCTGTAACTCAGGGGACCTGCCCCCAGTTAGCCTTGGGTGGAAGTCACTTCCACCCCCCTGGCTCAGAGCATGGCCACAGCTGTTTAACATATCTATGCAGCCAGTTAAAGGTTATAGATATGTTAAATGACCATGCCAGAGGTTAACTACAAAGCTTTTGCTGCACAAAACAGCTCTCAATGGCCCTGCTCCTTTTGTCACTTCCCCAACTCACACCTGTGGTGGGGGAGGGGTGAGGACATCTTAATATTTCCTGGACACCTTGGGTTCTGGACAGCATTCCAAATCCCTTTTTGGGGCCCCCCTCTTGACTGCACCCTGTTACAATTCCACTGATGGAGTTACAAGAGTTCTCCCTTTGCCTTGGGCATTTGTGGTTCTATGGCATTTTTTGATAGAGGAAATGGAGAGATGGTTAAATGGGTCTGTTAAAAAGAAAGTCTGAAATAAAGCAATGAGGGTGGAGAGGAGGGGATAAATGTGCAATAAAACCCAAGAAATGTTTTTTGGTTGTAGTCATGAGAGAGGAAAGTCTAGGATTATGCCCAGGTTCCTGGTTTACACAGTTGGGTGGATGGTAGTGCAATTCACTGAAACCAGGAATGAAACAGAGGATCTGTTTTGAGAGAAAGATGTAGAGTTCAGTTTAAAACATGTTGTGTTCAAAGTGTGTTTTCCTTGTGTGTGTTTGTTCCTTATTTTTGAGGCATCCATTTCTCATGCCTGATCCATTCTCCCCAACTCTTGGTTCTCGTAGTTTGGGTAAGGGTCCATCCCAGTTCTGAGAGTCAAGTACACACCCAGGCCTATGGTAAGCAGTGCACTGCATACCTTCAGACCCATTGATTGGCCTGGGATGGTCACATGATTTAAGCTTGTCCAAAAAGAGGAAATCTCAGTACTTTGTTGGGAATTCAGGAAAAAGCAATTGCTTTTCCCTTTCTCAGTGGATTCTCATCTGAGAGGTCGTAGCCATAAAAATGCTGATAACCATCTCAAGGTCACAGGAAGGGACCTGAGAGTGGAACCAACATTAAAGAACTGAGAAAAGAATTTAGAGAAAGACACCAGCTCCTAAAGCTGTGTAAAGCTACACCTGTCTTTGCTTTTTAGTTACATGTGTCGATAAATTCCTGCTCTATTTACAACAATATGAATTGAATTTTTTATCACTAACAGCAAGGATTCTTCACTAACAGGAAGAATCCTAGCTGTGGGACAGCTGGGTAGAGATGTTAGATTAAATAGATGAGTTGAGAATTCTAGAGAGAGATTTGGACTGGGGACATAGAAATGTAAGTTATCAGTGTACAGATCAAAGCCATGAGTTTGAAGAAGTTTACTTAGAGAAAATGCGTAGTGTATAGACAGCCAATTCATGTAAGCGCCATGAAAGGGGAGGTACAGGGCATGATAGCACAAGGGAGAGATGCCTCATCCTCACTAAGGAGTTTGGTGAGTTTTCCTGGGGTATAAACCATCTAGGCTGAGATGGAAGGGTAAGTGGGAACGCACATTATGATGAGGGTGGGCGGGTGCTCTGGGTAGAGAGCTCAGGCCAGGAGGTGAGAGAAACCCAGTGTGTGGAGGGAACTAAGCAAGCTCAGTATGGCTGGAATTTAGAGGGTGGATGTGTGAGGGGAGGGCAGAGAAGTGGAAGTCAGATGAGACGGTGCACAAAGTGGGGGTGCATTGTGCCTGACTTTACATGACCAGAATATTGGGGAACCCATTGAAGGGCTTTAAGCTGGAGAGTAACCAGATCAGAGGCTTCAGGACTAGAAAGGGCAAAGCCAGAGAAGTGGGGCCAATTAGGAAACTACTTTAGTGTCTAGATGAGAAGCAGTGATGACTTGGGTCAAGGGAAGCCTGGGGATGGACTTGGATATTTGAGCGGAGAATCAGATGAACTTGGGGATTTGATTGGATGTGAGGAGAGAAGGAATAGGAGTCAGTGCTGATTTTCAGGTCTCTGTGTGGGGCAACTAGGAAGATGCAGGGGCTGTTTCCTGAGATGTGGAATGGTGGAGGAGGAGCAGGCAGGGGGGTAGGGAGGGGAGTGGGTTTAGTCTGGGTTATGATGAACCTGAGAGTGCAAGCTTCTTGATGACAAGAATGTGCTCCGCATTATTGATTCACCTGGGCCTGGTACCCAGAACAGTGTCCTATAAATCATAGATAAGTATTTGTCAATACGTGAAGGACAGCTTATGTGGAAAATCCAGGAGCAGCTTTGAAGCTCAGGAGGTAGAACTGGGTTGAGGAGATAGGTGTGAGTGGTCATTGGCCTCTAGTGATAAATGAAGACACAGGAGATGAGGTTCACAAGGAGAGTACGAGGCATGAGAAGGCTTTGCATGCTGAGTGGAGGAGCATCAGCTTTAAAGGACAGTAACTGATGTGGTTCACCAGCCCCTGCCTTCCTGACCATGCTCTTTTGTCGCTCTGTCAGCTCTCCTTTAATGAGTCTTCTTCGGCCCCTTCTCACCAGCTGAGGGCACCTTCCCAGGCCTTATCTATCTCTGCTTCTCAAATCAGGTCTTCTCCCCAGGCTTCAATTGTAGATGCCCACTGGGCATTGCCAACTGGACCTCCTAATGGCACCTCAAATACAACACTCCCTCATTGAGCTCATCTCCTCTCCAAACTGTTTCCTCTTGTTTCTGTCACTTACTTAGCATATAAGAGGCACTGCAGTTTTTGAATTGAATCTTGAATTAGAAGCTTGGGAATAATTAGATCTTACTTCTTATCAAAACCTGAGGGTGCCATGAAAGTAAAGATTTCCTGGTTAGATTCTTGAGCGTGGTGTCCTAAAGCCAGGGCCAGTGATTTCATGGTAGAACAGCATATGGGCCAGTAACCTTCGGGTGCCTGCTGTTTTTCCACCTCTTCCCTGGCTCAGTGTTCTTTGGGATAATACCACTTTTTAATGGTATTTTTATTTTCATATAGGATACACCAGCAAGGGAATGGTATGGAAACTTCCACTGACTACAGATTCTTAACTGCCCTCTGCCTCCGCCCTGTGTTGCTGATGAATTAAGGAACTCATTAAAGAGGTAGCTACAATTCTACTTCAAAAATTTGGGGACTTGCTAGTCTAAGGCATTAGCCTTCACTCTGGAGTTTCAAAGTGGATCCCCACTTCCCTCTAAAACCAAACAAAATCAGCCTCAGAAAAAGTGGTCTGATTCATTCTACTACTTTGTGAAGTAACTGTGATCCCGAGATTTTTCTAAGACATTAAAAAACACCCGCATGGATAAGGAATCACAGGTTCTCTGCAAAGTGTTTTTCCCCGTATTGCTTAGTTACTCCTTAACATGCTTCTCCCTTTCTCTACTCTGTTGTCCTCAACTCTGGGTCAGCCTGTTCACCTCTTTAGGCTCATTCCCTGCAGCTTTGCCAGAGGGCTTAGAAAATTGACGCTGGTATTAGCCCACAGCCAAACAAAGACCTTGACAACCCAGGCTCCTTCCTATTCTTCCCACACCCCACTCCTCAGCTTAGGACCTTCGCCCTTCTTGCTGTTCATTCTTTTGAAATGCCCTCCATCTTTCTGAATGTTTGCTCCTTCAGATCTCAGCACAGATGTCATCTCAGCAGACTTGCCCTGCTCCCAGCCCCCATTTAATATGGAACAAACCACCTCCTAGTTTTTCCTTCATAGGAGTTATCATACTCTCATAGTCCTGTTTACCTATTCATTCACTGTTTTTCCGCCATTGGAAGGTAAGCTCAGTGAAGGTGGGACCGTGTCTATCTTGTTGACTGTATCCCCAGAGCCTGTCAATGCCTATAGTAGGGGCAAACAGATACATCCCCCTGCCAACTCTACTCCATCTCTTGTATAAATTTACTGACTCTCCAGCGTGTTTTAAAAAATATGTTTTATTACTACCAGCAGGAGGGGCATGTATGGGGTGGGAATGCACTGTGCTCAGGGTATGTGAGGAGATGATGACTGGGAAGCTGGAAGGGAAGGGGGTGGTCTGGAGGCCAGCTCCATGGGCTCCTCAGGTTTATTTCTGACAACGGCTAAAGGACTCATGGCAAGCTACCGCCAGGCCGCCAATAAGATTAAGAAATTCTTGGAAATCTAGCTGCCCGTCGCTGTTCACGTCCAATCTCTTCATCATGCGGTCAAGGACACCGGGGTCCTTCTGGCTCTGCAAAGGTAATAATAACAATAATGAAATGATAATATTAATAGTACCTTTATATTGTACCTTCTAAAATGCTTTCAAATATGCTGCCACATTTTATTCTTACAGAGTGTAAAGTACAGGGTAAGGATTCTAGTATTCCCACTACTTACACACAGAAACAGACTCAAAGGGGTGGAACAACCTGCCCGGGGGAAGGCCTGAGGTCTTCCGGCTCCTAGTCCAGGGTTCTTTATGTGACAACCAGAGATTGTTCAATTTTATAAAAACAGTGGAACACTTTTTTCAACTTTTGCATGAAATTTCAATATACAAACTATTAGGCTGGCCAAAAAGTCTGTTACATTTTTTTCTGTACAATGCTTCATAGTCTTTAACTTCATTGAAAACAATTTTGTTAGACTGTATTGTGACAGCTGTCATATTGGTGTGCACTAAAAAAAAAAAAGACATCAAAATCGGTGAACTTTTGTGCAGCCATTTTAATACTGAAGATGGAAGAAAATAGGTAACATTTTCAGTATACCATGCCTTACTATTTCAAGGAAGGTAAAAAACGCAACTGAAACAAACAAACAAAAAAACTGATTTGTGCAGCGTATGGAGAAGGTACTGTGACTAACTGAATGTGTCAGAAGTGGCTTGTGAAGTTCCTTGGAACTACTGACATTTGGGCCAAGTAATTCTTTGCTCTGGTGCTGTCTTTATCCACTGGAAGATGTTTAGCAGCAACTCTGGCCTCTACCCAGTAGAAACCAAAAGTGGGAGGGAGATAGCTGACATACTCAAAATATCCAAATCAATAAAGTTAATGGTGAAAATGAAAACTATGTCTTTTATTTTACGGAAAAAAACTAAATGGACTTTTTGGCCAACCCAATACACAAAGGTAGAGTGACTTGGAGGGAAAACAGGATGCAGGCCCTATCTATCAGCCGCATCCTCCACTCATCCAAGCCCCCAGTACATACACACATTTACAGCCACCGGTTATATATGGCTACTTAAATTAATTAATTTAGAAAATCAACAGGCACATGTGGCCAGCAGCTGCCATATTGGGTAGTGCAGATATAGAACATTTTTTTCTATCGCTGCACCAGGTTCTATTGGACAGCGCTGTCCTCTAGGACAGGCTTTGGGGTGGAGGGACAAATGAGAAAACTTCTATTAAGCCATTTACCATTTTGCAAATTCTTTTCCCTATATGGTAGAGAAGTTATCCCTAAGTCAGGTAATTTGATAACTTTGATTTTTTTCTTACTCAAAGAACAGGAGGAGAAAAGATCCTTTACTAGTTGTTCAGAGCTCACTCTTGAGGCCTGGGAGCTCAGTCTAGGCTGGTACTTGGGTCCTTGGCTTGGAGTGGATGAAAAGGAGGCAGGAGTGTGGGGGCGGGGGTCAGATGCTGGCCCTTCATTCCTAGCCATTCTGCCAGGCTTAGTTCATGCTCTGGGTAGTTTGGGGCTGGGTCAGGGGCGGTGAGGGCTGGGACCCATACCTTTGTGAAGGCAGCCAGTTCTGTATTCATGAAGGTTAGGAACTCAGTCTTGGAAAGCGTAAAGCTGTTACTGTCCTTTCCAGCATACCTCCGGAAAACAGCAATCAGAGACTCGATGCACCGCTCAGTCTCTGTAGGGCTGGACATTTTCGCCTTTGGAGAAAAAAAATTCAGGGCTCAGACAAGGGCAACATGCCAAGGCTTGAGTGTTAGAGAACACTCCAGAGAATCTCGTCTCTTCATTTTGGGTCAAAGCAGTTTCCTAAATGACTGGATCATTTTTTAGGGGGCTTAGGGTCCTAATATGCACAGAAAGTCACATTTTGTGAGCTTCCCTCCCATATGTGTCATATTTATTCCAAGGGAAACAGTGTAAGCATGGAGCATGTGGCTATATTTGATGAGTCAGGGTGACAGGGTCCGCTGATATTTTTAGAACACATGGGAAATATGTACAACTACACGTCTGCAAACCCATGTGCGTACCAACCACTGTCTACAGACTTAAAATTTTCCTGTTTTCCAAGAGTATATAGAGCCTACTGTGATGAATGAAATGGCAGTTCTTTTTAAAGAAACACTGAATTCCTGGGACTCATGCATTTTCTAGATGAAAACTAAAAGCATCACTATTATTATATAGGGGGTGGGAGATCTGAGAATTTTTTTCGATGTTCAAAACCAGCTTTCATATTTGAAAGTTAGTAACCATGTATTTTACACATGAGGAAATGGAAGAATGAGAAAGGAATGGACAGAGCCACCCCTAAAAAACCCCAGCCTCCAGGTCTCTTTCTCCAGTCCTCTTCCTACTTCCAGATGCCACGAATTCCCACAGGAATGGCCAGTGGAGCCTCTCTGGTTATTTCAAACCAGGAAGGTTGAAACGCAAGCTCACAGGTTGCTGCTCACACAACTCCCGTGGCTTCTACAGAGCTGAACCACGGCTGCGGCTGCACCAGCAGGAGCAGGACATTCAAATCCTGTGCCATTCATTCTGGTGGGCACCTCGGGCCCCAGAAGTGAGGACCTGTTCTCCCCCTGGTGGATACGAGCAGCAACTACAGACTTCCTGGAAAACTTGCCCTGCCACACCCTTCCTCTGAGCTTTCCCCCCAGGCCATTAACAATGGTCTAGAGGTTTGCATGGTCGGTTTGCAATTTAGCGCTTAGCTCACTTTTTTTTTTTGTTTATTTATTTCTCTATCTAGATAGATATCTATCATTAGAGAGGAAGGGAAGGGGAGAAATATCAATGTATGGTTGCCTCTCATGAGTCCCCTGCTGGGAACTGGCCTGCAACCTAGGCATGTGCCCTGACTGGGAATCGAACCTCAATCATGTGGTTCGCAGGCCTGTGCTCAATCCACTGAGCTATACCAGCCAGGGCAACTCATTTGTTTTTGAGATGTAACTGTTACTTCCTGGAGCCCAGAGATGGAGGCTTTCAGGACCCATAATTAAGGACACTAAGGACTGATGTAAGCCCTGAGGCTGCATGCCAGAGGGTCACCTTGTTTCCCTTCTTTCTGTAGGTTTTTCACCTCTCAATCACTCTAAGTGCTTTGCTACCCCAGTCAGGTACCTGCTACCCAATGCATCTTGGGAAATCTATAAAGCCCTTCCGAAGGTGGGTTCTAAAGGACTCTTTCAGAGGTGGATTCTTTTCAACAGTCACATGGTTGGAACCTTTTCTTAAAAAGAAAAGTGCTGATAGGTTCAGGGTTGGGGGAGAAACAGAATAGCATTGCTTAGAAACCATGTGTTTACACAACAGCTTTTCTTATCAGGACTAAAATCTCAGTCTTACTAAAGTGTCAGATGACAGGAACAAGATTGGCTAGGAGGGTGTAGCAGATAGAGTAGAAGGTTCCAGACTAGGGATCAAATCTTTGTGACTTTATTTTGACTCCCAGAAGCTTCCTCTGCCCCTTTTCCTTGAGGAATTCAGATTGCTTTGCTTTTCTAATTTCAAAGTGCCTTCTGCTTTACTTTTTTTCTCCTTAACATCTCTGCATTTCTCCGCAGAGGTAATTTTCCAGAGGAAAAGAAAAGAAACACAATGATTAAATTGCTGAAATGGAATTGCAAAATTTGTAGAGCTGAGGAGTCTCTGGAGATAGTTCCGAAGGAGGGAGGCCCAGAGGGAGGGAGACCCAGAGACAGGACAGCTTTGCCCAAGGTGGGGCAGTGGCTGAAGGGGAGGAGAACCTGTCTCCTGCATGGAGGCCTCCCCTCACTTCATCCTCACGATTGTTTTTGGTGGGAACCATGACAGGAAGGAGAAACAGTATGGTAAGTGGATACTGTGAAGAAATTGAAAAATGTAGACTAAATACTCAACATTTGAGAAAAGAAAAAGGAATGTAGAAAAGTAATGTTTGAAAAAGACTCAGGTATTGCAGTTCTCATTAACCATTATCCCCTCTCCCTTCCCAGGACACACAGCGGCATCCACCTTGCTCCTCTCTAGGGCAATCATGCCAGGTTCACCACCTGCTGGTGCTGCCTCTACCTTTCCAAGTTTCCCTGTGATAATGACTCTCCCGTTTTGCATGGAAAGAAGAGGAAAAGAGGAGGTGGGGATAATGATCGACACACCAGCGCAGGGGTTGACAAATGTGTTTTGTAAAGGGCCTCGTGGTAAATATCTGAGGCCAGTGTGATACATAGTGACTTGTCACTCTGCTTTCGTAGTGGGCCAGCAACCAGACACCTCATAAATGAATGGGTATGGCCGTGGGCCAATAAAACTTGGTGTGGACGCTGAAATTTGATTTTCATATAACTTTTGCGTGTCTCAAGGAATTATTATTCTTCCTTTGATTTTTCTTTCAACCATTAAAAAATGCAAAATCCATTGGTAGCTTATGTAGGGAACAGAAACCCCATTTGGTCCCTGGGCGGAAGTTTGCTGATCCCTTCACCAAACAGGAGGTAGAGTTTGCAGTTGGCTTAATCGAAAAGTTAGAGACTTCAAGGTGGGGAGGGCAGGAGCTAAGAGGAGAAAAGTGGTAGGGCAGAGAGTGCTTGAAAAGGCTGTAGGTGGAAAGGAAAGGAAAGGAAAGGAGGACCGCCTGGGCAGGGCCGGGCTCCTCCCACATTCCTGGCGGCTGTGCGAAGTTCCGCTCCTCCGACCGGCCGCGCCTGGCATCTCGGTCTCGGCCGCTCGTCGGGCGCTCACCGAAACCGTGATTCTCCCAGGTTCGGACCACAGTTCTGAAACGTGCCCTTTCTGGTCCGCGGGATCCGCGGCCACCTGTGCCGCTCACAGAACCCCACCCCGGCCCTTAACTTGTCTCCCGGCCGCGCAACCCCAGCGGCGCGCGGCTCCAGCAGCAGCAGGACCCCGCCCCGCCGCGCCGGCCCGCTGACCGCCTGCCCTGCGGGGCTCGCCGGGCACTTCCGCGTCCCCAGCCCGAGCCCATCTTCGCCGAAAACAAAGAACCTCCCGTGGCCACGCCCGGGCTGTTATTCCAGGTAGAACCTTAGGGCTTTGGACTTCCGTCCTCTCTTCTAAATTCCCTCCCACGATTGATTTTTCCTGCCACGTCCACATAGAAATCAAAGATAGAACCTGGTGGAAAGTGTGCTGTGGCCTTTTCTTTCTGTTTCAGAGGAAGACGTAAAAAGTCAGGCTTACCATGTTGGAGCAGAGCGAGGCGCGGAGGCTGTGAGCGGCTAGCGGCGCAGGGATCTCTGGGCGGCGGGCGGGCCGGCCGGGTTCCAGTCTGTCCCCGCCCGCCCGCCCCCCGCCTGACTCACTGCTCCCGCCCCCTCCTCCGCTTCCCCCGCGCGCAGATCAGGACTTGTCAGCCCAGCCACAACCTCCCTTAAATTCACAGGAAAACCACTTGAGCCTTAAAGAACGTATCTTTCCTTGACCTGTGAACCTCGAAGACTTTCTACTTTTTTTGAATTAAAAGTTTTACCTAGCCGTCTCCGGGAAGTGGAGCCGCATCGCGAGGGGGTCTTTTCCTTGTACGAGCTTGGAAACGCAGAAAGATGCCATTTAAAAACGTGCGTCGTGGGTGTGGGCCACAACCGCAGAGTAGAAGTTCCCTAGAAGGCAGAGATACGTGTTCCTTCACACTGAAGCTAGTTAATAGAAACTTCTTTCTAAACCGACAACTGTTAAACAACAACAAAATCCCAAACTACTGCAGTTAAAAACTGACCCATGGGAATAGGCATTTTCTGTGCGCAGTTGGCAACGGAGTTGGAGTTGTCTTAAGAATCGGAAGCTCTGGGCTCTAACCCTGAGTCTGTTACTTCATTGCAATATTTTTGGTAAAACCCCTCACTCCCTCGAACCTCCATTTCCTTATTTATAGAAGAAGGTGATGCTGCTTTCCCTATTTTTGTAAGATTGTTATGACCATCAAATGATGGCTTCGAGAGGGCCTCCAACACCGTGAAAGAGAGTGGGCTGCAGGGCGTCGTCTTGAAAATTGCTTCTCCTCTCGCGGGCTCAGCTGGCCACTTGAGAGCACGTCTTCAGCTCCGCTCAGTTACTCCAGATCCACATTTTCAGGTATTCTTGAACCCACTTGAAAGTCCCACCTGAGCCTGACTCAGTGATTAAATAACTTGTTTTCCCTAAACCCGTTTCTCTCCCTCTTTCCCTATCTCTAACGGTACTGCCCTTCTTCCAGTCTCTCAACCTCAGGACTTGGAGCCAGGTTTGGATTCCAAATCCCCTTTTTACCCCAAATCTTATATAATGCCAAGTACTATCAGTTTTAGTGTTATATTCTGTCTTGGCTCTGCCTCTCATAGTTTCTATTTCCACCTCCAGGGTTCTATACCATAGTTTAGATGTTCATTTCCTCTTTCCTCTAATTTCTAACTAGTCTGCTATCCTCCAGTTTGTTACACTAACTGTTAAAAATACACTTACCCGTATTTGTCAGACTGTAAGACACCCCCCTCAATTAGGGAGGAATAATGGTTGTTAATGCTGCTGCTGAGTTCTGTTTACGTTTACATTTGTGAAATGTTATTTATGTTATTAAATATTTCACCACATTTTTTGCTTCAAGAATTTTTTCCTATTTTCCTCCTCTAAAACCTAGGTGTGTCTTATGGTCCGAAAAATATGGTAGTTCTGATCAACTGCCTACTTAAAACAAAACACAACAGAAGAACCAAACAAAACGGTTCCCCATTGAATTTTATCCTCACCTTAAATATTTTGTGTTAATTATTGATTTTAGAGAGAGCAAAACACTGATGTGAGAGAAAAACATTGAATCCAGGACTGAACCCACAGTCTATGTACTCTGACTGGGAATTGAACCCGCAACCTTTTGGTGTAAGGAACCAGGCTGTAACCAACAGAGTCACCTGGCCAGTGCCCTAATGCCTTTTATATTAAATCTAAACTTCTTAGCCTCTATCTGGTTTTGAAAAACCTTTTAACCTTAATTAATAAATGAATTCTTTAATTTATTCATTCAACAATTTTTTGGGGGGAACCTGTTGAGCGCCAAGCCCAGTGCTTGGCATGAGAGATACAAACATGAAGTACAGTAATGCTGGCCTTTGAGGCGGTTTGCAGAGACTATAGACCTCTGGTGGTTTGGAGGCCATTCCCTGGATGGCTGCTGGGATCCACACATACCTAAAGTTATATGTAAACTGTCTTGCATAAGAGATTTTTTTTTCTGGGGAACGGTCCATAGCTTTATTCTATGATAAAAAATATTAAAGAATCATTTGTCTAATTTAGTCCAGACCTAAATCAGGGGACCTCCTATACCATAAGCCTGTTTAAGGAAGACCTCCATTATAGCCTTTGCTGAAGGGCCTGCCCAGATGGTGACTTTTTGGATGATTTGACCTTCTGCCCACTGTCACAGCTGATTAAATTGAGATTAGCTGTGGACTCAGGGCATTCCAGTCCACAGAACGGACTGTAGTGGATGTCTCATGACATGATATGGAAAGATAACCTGAGGCCAATCAGTTTCTCGTTCTTCAGCAACTGAAATTTTAAACAGGAAGAAAATTAGGCGTTTGGGAGAGCTAAAGCAGAACATGTGTACAGAGGGAATCATGAGGTCATGGCAAATTCAAACTACAGAAGCAAACACCATGAATATGGAGAAGCTATGACATTTGGAAAGAATGCACAGGATAGAGGGGGAAATAAACTGATAACTGGAAATAAAAGAAGTAGCTACTTGGATATTAACTGAGTTGTATAAATGGCGAAGCACTGGGAGTAAAGATCATGCAGTCCAACTTTACCAGCTTTCTTCTTCCAGAACCTGGTTACTTAGTTTCCCTAATTTTCCGTAAGACATTTATCCCTTTAATAACTCCTCTGCCCCATAAGGTAGCTTGAATGAAACCAAAGAAAAAAACTAAAATAAGTATGAATTGTCCAGAACAAGGCTGGGGGTCCGCCCTTACACTTAGGCCTGCCTTTGGTAACTCGCCAGGGTCATGCTAAAATTTGGTCATTATGCAATTAGGTTTTCAGTCAGAGGAGGGAGAGTTCAGGAAGGGCAACAGGCAAAGGGAGATTTGGCCAAGTAGGTTGACAGTGTGTCAAACTGAAAGGCTAAAGCAGGCAGGGAGCTGAGGATGAGAGGGCTGGTTAGCTGATAGCAAGAGGCAGAAATGATGCACAGGTAAGTAAAGAGCTATTCAGGAAATAAATGTGGGGACTTCCACAGGGCAGGGTAATTTTCAGGTGCAACCTGAGCTCTGTGCAGGGTGGGGTGGATTATTACATGGTCACAATAGAGTGTGATGAGCATAACAAGATGGGTGTGACCAAGATACAATGGCAATGCTGGGAAAGAAATGATTGGTTAATCCTGGGGTCCAGCCTCTGCAGGGTTCAGAGTCCCTGAAGGGGACTCCGGCGCAGGTGCAGGTGCGCCAGGTGGCGCAGGTGACGAATGAAGAGTCAGACACCCGGTTGGATGCTGGAGAACAGCCAGCCTCTGTGGGTCTGACCGAACTCTCAGAGTTTGGTTTTAGCTTTATTTTTTATAGCGATTGATACATAACATTAAAGGAGCAGGTGCATGGCATGAAGGTATGTTAAACAAAGGTTATTTTGACCAGAAGAATCATTAATCAGACAATTAGAGCTAGCTGTATGAATAGAGCTTTTGATGTCCTGCTTTTCTTATCTGTCTAATTCTATTCCTGTCCAAGGTAGAGGAGGGGCAGTTACTCTAACAACTTTTAGACATTCAGGGGCTACTTCATTAGGGGGGACTTTGTTTTCTCTGGCCAAGAAATTATTTGGTACAACTTCATTGGAATTATGCAGATCATTGAAATGCAGGTGTCTGAAAATCCCACCACCTATTAATCGTAAAAACAAACATGCAAAGAGAGATAGACAGGAAGTCCAGCCACAGTTGCCTCTGCTGTGCAGATGCATCTCATCCGTCCCGACTGTGTCAAGGGACGGCTGCTGGTCGGCTCCCGACAGGTTAACTTGTGGGGAGCAGGGGAAGCAGCATGGAGAAAATGATACTTGAGGTGGGCACTGAAGGATGAATTAGAATTCCCCAACCAATGGTACAGTGGTGAAGCAAGGTGAAGCCAGGCCGTGCAGCACAGGGTTCATGATGACAGAGTCTGGAACTAGAGTGTGGGGCTCAACTCCAGTGCCTCAGTGTATTATTTGTATGTGCTCCAGCAAGTCATTTATCCGCTCTGTGCCTCAGTTTCTTCATCTATAAAGTGGAGAGAATAGTGCTTACTTCATGTTGTTGTGGTGTGGGTTTTACATAGTTCATGTAAAATGCTTAGAATTTAGAGCAGCGTCTTCAGAGGATGCCCTATATAATGGCTTGTGCAAAAGTAAGCAGGGATGAAACACATATGTGTTTTCAGTGTGTGCAGGTGGCTTGGTAAGTCCTGGCCTTTGGGTATGTGGTGACGGCAAATGTGAGGCAGAATTATGGGACAGGAGCCGGGAAGAGAAGAATCAGAGCCGGATTGTACCGTGAGAGTTATCTATCGAGAACCGCTGTAGGTTTTGAAGCAGGAGAGTGACATGGTCTACTTCACCTTTCAGGGCGTGTAGCAAATGCTCTAGAGAGGAGAGAGACTAGAGGCTAGAAATCTATTAGGATATTGTTGCAATAACCAAGGTGAGATGGCTTTGTTGAGATGCGGGGAGGAAATTGCCAAGTACTGAGAAGGCAAAAACGATTGAATTTGGCCTCTGCTTGGATTTGAGGAGTTTGGAAGAGTGATGAGATCACCCTAGGAGAGAATAGGAGTGAAAATAGTCACATTTACTTACAGCTCTTCAAATGTCTCTCTTTCTTACCTTAGGTCCTTTGCACCTCTGTCTGATCTGTCCGTAGTAGTCTTTCTCATTCTTCTAACTTATCTGTCTTAGTCAGCTTGGGCTGCCATAACTAGATACCACAGCCTGGGTGGCTTAAACAATAGGAATTCACTTTCTTACAGTTCTGGAGGCTGGAAGTCCAAGATCAAGGTACTGGCTGATTCAGTTCCCGGTGAGAGCTCTCTTCCTGGCTTGCTAGTGGCTGTTTTCTTGCTGTGTCCTCACATGGTGGAGAGGGAGAGATTTCTGTCTTCCTTTTCCTATAAGACCACCCCCCCTCCCCCCCTCCCCCCCAGTCCTCATCCCTGTGTCTTTCATACTTGTTCCTCAAAATCCCTCCCCATTTTTCCCTTAAATTCCCTTCCCTCTCCCCTCTGGTCGCTGCCCACTTGTTCTCTATTTCAGTGTCTTTGTTTTTATTCTGTT